GAAAGCTGACAAATAAAACTTTGTTGGTCTTAAAGGTGCCACTGGATTCCAACTTTGCTCATTACGCAGAGTAAAGCTATGACCTTCAAGTTGTTGAACTGCTCTTTGGGCAGGTTCACAGAGTTCAGACCTTTAATTAAGAAGAATCTCTTTGACCGAAGTGCCTCTGCCCTAGTACCAGCGAAGGCCATTTCCTCTATCTAAGGTCTCCCTCTACAACCTACATTGAGAGGTGTATTGCCCGTAACTTCCATTTCCACGCTTCCCTTTGAACCGGGTTCAGTGCTCCAGAAGGACCTGCTTCCCTCCCCCTCACCATCAACAACATTTAGAAAGATCCATTTTCCTTTCTGTATTCCCCAAAGTGAGTTATATCTAGGGCAATATGCTCAAAAAGAGTATTATTTTTTTTCACTACATTCCAGGTGGGGAGAACTCTGTGGCTTTCCTCTTAGAGGAAAATGATCCTTTCAGCTCACATTGTTTCAAGCCACACACTTATTCCTTCCGTTTTCTATGTACACCAAACAACACTCTTAAACATGTTCTTGACAAAACTATGGACTCTTGACCTGACAAGGCCCTGGATCTCTAAGGACTTTAAACTCTAAAAATATGTGTCTCTGACAGACTGCAATCCTATGCACAGTTACTTCAGTCTAAATGCCTTGAAATCAACAGGGTTAGATTGGAGTAGTGTTACAAAGGATTGCTGTTCTCTAAGAGAAATGTTAGGTGAAACACAGATGTGAAATTCTTTTTAATAATTGATATTGCAAATGTGATTTGCCATTGTGTTGCCATATATATATTCCCAAGCTGTTTACTACACAGTGATTTCCCATTTGATGTAAGTATTTTTAAAGGATGTGAGGGAATAGGCCTCACAAATATTTACAAATGCTTTTCGCTTTACTTAACATTACTAAAATACTTTTGAACTCCTTTTATAACTAAAACCTTCTTTCAAGAACAATCACTTCCCCACACGGTTGAGGATAACCTGGGGATCTACATGGAATCACAGGGAGAGGGGAAATGGCCCCGGTCACACGGGAGGATTTGCCCCGCAAAGCGGACGGGGTGAGGGCGCATCAAACGGGCGCGATCAGATGCCAACATCCGGCAAGCGTCGTGCCCCCGCCCCCCAAACCGTCCCTTCAGGCCGAAAAATTGGTGTTGTCTAGTCCAAACACAAAAGAGCTGATAGTATTCTGGAGGGGAGATACTTTGACTAGGTAGAAATTTGCTAGACATTGGTCCCGGTCACACCGGCGGGAAAAGCCATGCCAGAAGTGCGGATTCTTAGAGCCGCACCAAAGGAAAGCACGGCATCCGGATCAGACGCTTCTCCCGAGCCGCTGCGCATATTCTGTCCGGCGCAATCATATGGCCAGGGGAAGCGAGGCAAAGATGGGCGAGCCGAGGCTGCTGGAGTATTCATGCGCATGCACAGTCTGGCAGTTACCCATGCACAGTCCGGCAGTCCCTCGAATAACACAGGCTGCCAGCGCGTTCCGGTAGGTACTACATTTTCCCTAGTACCTTTTTGATCTGCGTTCTCCCTCTAAACCAGGAGTTTCAAACTCATGTGTTATGAGGGCTGGATCTGACATAAATGAGACCTTGTTGAGCCGGGCCATGTGTGTCATAAAATGTAATGCCAGGTAGCAGACATATAAACTTTATATAAGGACACAAACACAAATATTTTTTTACTCAAAATAAAAACATGCTTAAAACATTAGCACTCTTGAAATATTTTGTTTAGAGAAGAAGCTAAGAGATTGGGTTTATACCCCACCCTTCACTACCCAAAGGAGTCTCAGAGCGGCTTACAAACTCCTTTCCCTTCTCCTCCCCACAACAGGCACCCTGTGAGGTAGGTGGGGCTGAGAGAGCTCTGACAGAAACTGCTCTTTTTCAAGAACAGCTGTGCCATAGCTATGGCTTGCCCAAGGTCATCCAGCCGTTGCAAGTGGAGGAGTGGGGAATCAAACCAGGTTCTCCCAGATTAGAGTCTGCGCTCCTAACCACTACACCAAACTGGCTCACCAAACTGGCTTAATAGTATCTGATAACTGACACCTCCTTCTCTGATTTATTGCATTAAAATGTCTGTGCTGTTGCAAGCTTGAGTATGCTGTTCAAGTGTGTATCTGTAAGCTACAAACCTACTTTTGATTTATTGACATTCCCCACAGAAATCTCATGCTCAGAGTTCTGAGTCTAGTACCCAGGGGAAAACATGAAATGGCTGAGCGATTGAGATAGTCTGGTGAAGTAAGCTATGATGCAGCAGCAGGAACAGAACTGGAAGCAGGAGATGGCCAGTTTCAGTGCAGGCCTGATGAAAGCCCTCCGGGGGCCTGATCTGGCCCCCGGGCCACATGTTTGACTCCCCTGCTCTAAACTGTGGAGTCCTCTGAGCAAAAGTTCTACTTTGTGAGCTACTGGCATTAAAGCTGTGAGTGAGAGATTTGGCTACTGCATAAACTAGTTTGCTCTGGAGCCATCTTTCCTGAGCTAAGGAAAAAATGTGTGAGCCAGAGGCTGAAAAACTGTGAGCTAGCTCACACTAACTCAGCTTAGAGGGAACACTGGACAATGTTGTGAGAAAAGTGTGGCTGCACGTGTCTGTGAATGCGTTTACCCATGCCACCCACACTCCCCCTTTGGTTCGTGTGTCCCCTGAGTGTTGCCTCCTTACCAATGGCAGAGGTGTAAGCTTGGAAACCACTAAGCGCTGACAGAGACACTCAAAGGTCTCTTCTTAAAATAAAACTTATCTTTATTAAAAGAAAAACATTCAAAGGTCCACCCCCAAAATCTCCAGGTATTTCCCAAGCAGAGCTGGCAACCCCATAAGTCGGCTGCGACTTGATAGAACTTTACACACACATGCACATTTACCCAGACACAGCTCAAAAGACTTGGTACGCCTGCCAAGTGAAGGGGCTTCCAGAGGCGAGCTCAGGCAATTTTTGTATCCCCCCTTTTTTCCCCTTTTTGTTGGCAAGTGATAACCGAACTCCAGCATTTTGCCTCAACCAAACTCCTCTCTTTTTACTCCATGAGGCCATATGCAAAATCAGCAAAGACTCTGTGGACAAATTCCTCACTTCTCCTTTTACTCAGAAATGTTGCTATTCGTTTCACTTGCATGTTCTAAATGCAGATAAGCTACGTAGTTTACAGATGAATATGTATCCCTGTGAGTGTCCTTCTCCCCCCCCCCCATCCTGAGAGGACTGCACTGGTTGTCCCTTTGTTTCTGGGTACAATTAGGGTCACCAAGTGTTTTATCTGGCGCAGCGGAAGACAGTCAGTCCCAGCCCGGGACGGCGATGACATCACCCGGAAGTGATGTCATCACACTGGGCACGTCGCCAGGCGACGCTCTAGCAATCAGCCTGAAAACTCTATGGTACCATAGAGTTTTCAGGCTGAGCGTCGCCCGGTGACGTGCCAGCGTGATGACGTCATCACCTTGGGCACGTCGGCCTGATCTGGGCACTTTGGGGGTGGGGTTCCCCCCACCAGCCGGATCCGGACCGGCAGGTTGGGGGCCCTTTGGGTGGGCAAACCCCCGCCCCCCCAGGGGACTTGGCAGCCCTAGGTACAATTGAAAGTGCTGGTTCTTAACATTCCCAAACTCTGCCATCCATAGGCTCCTCCCCCAAATCTCTTGAGATTTCCAATCCTGGAACTGGCAACCTTAAACCTGAAGAAGAGTTCTGTATACCTCAGAAGCTCACAAGCACTGTGGACAGAGTTGCCAGCTCCGGGCTGGGAAATAAGTGGAGTTTTTGGAGGTGGAGCCTGAGGTTTGGGGAGAGGAGGGACCTCAATGGGGTACGATGCCACAGAGACCACCTTCCAAAGCACCCGTTTCCTCCTGGAGAACTGATCTCTGCCGCCTGGAGATTAGTTGTAATTCCAGGAGATCTCCTGGGGGTTAGCAACCCTTAGCTGGCCTTAATAAATGCATTTAGATTTATCTTGTTCGAATTCTTTGTCTGATTGGAAGACTATTTGGGTGGGTGGGGGAGATGCTGTTTTACATTTGTTTTAGGCAACAAAGGCCAGCACATGTTTTAGCAGAGGGAGTTTTGCCTTTTAATTGGTTTATAAAGACAAAGCACAAGCCCTGGCAGAGTTAAATGATTAACAGATTCCCACGAATGCCTCTGGCATTGAATATCCATACATTCATTAGCCCAAACAATTCATCTTCTTGATAAAACTAAGATTAGCAGTGGAGCAGGTTTACTTTTTATGATTAATAAACGAGGGGAAAAAATCTAAATTATCCTATCTGAAACAACTGCTTTCTTAGCTATTAATTTCAGATTTATCAGCTTCTATAATACACACTATTAAGTTTAAAAATCAATTTTACTCAAATATTATTTTTAATAAGCTAAGAAAAACAAGTGCATAATGCCCAGCATCTGAAGAAGCCCCTCAGTTACAAAGGGGGAAAAAAAAAAGACGACACATTCATTTGAGGGCCATTTCTAAGTCAAACGGTAAAGAGGCAGAGCTTTTGATATACGTGCCCCACTCCTGGAACAGACGCAATTCACAAATGTGCCATATGGTAAACACACAAGCAAAATAAAATAAAATAAAATAAAAACTGCAGCATCTGTAGCCAACCAGCCACATCATGAACTTTTGGTTCCATTCGGTAAAACCATTTTCAACAGATTAAACTCTTGTTCGCTTATCTTTTCAGACTCGTGTATACCTGCTTTCTTAAAATCCCCGAATGCTGCTCATTCGGAGGAACAGCTCCCCCCCCCCGAAAAAATGAATATGGGAAGATTCTGCTCTATGTCCAACCCCTCTGTCCCACTTTCTTGCCTAGAAGGCCTCGATAGGATTTGCTGCCTGGGGGAGGAAATTGTCAAAGGAGTGTGCAGTGCTGGCCAAAACAATCCTACTTCCTGGTACAACCACTTTTATTGGATTTTTGCAAAGAACACATAATGATTTTATGCAATGCTGCCAGCATTGGAGGCGATCCTCGGCCACAGATCTACACACTCCTTGGCGACGGGGCCTGTGATAGCAGAACCTTTCATTTCCCCTTTGTTGCTGACTATCACTCTTGCACTGTCTTCAAAATACAAGAACACCCCGTCTTTTCTCCTATACGATTTCCTTTCTCGGATCACTAGAGCTGGATGAACCTTTTTCCGGAGTTCTGGCTTGCCTTTTTTGACAGTGGCCATCACCATATCACCCACGCCAGCAGCTGGTAGCCTGTTCAGACGTCCCTTAATCCCTTTGACAGAGATGATGTACAGATTCTTGGCCCCTGTGTTATCTGCGCAGTTGATCATAGCTCCAACGGGGAGACCGAGAGAGATGAGGAATATCACACCAGACGAACCGCCACGCCTCGTAAAAAAGTATAGCCTAAACCAGGGGTCATTTCGTAGAAAAAGAGGTGCAGGAGTTCATTAGCATAACTTATTTGCATAACTTATTTGCATATGCCACACCCCCTGACATCACCGGAAGTGCGTCAGTAAGGCAACACCCACCACTCAGGCTCCACTGGACTGTTTTGGATTGCTAGCTATTGGGGGGGGGACAAGTGCAGATCTGTCCTTGCAGAGGAGGGAGAGCTTGTACCTGAATAAAACTTGGTCCTAAAGGTGCCACTGGACTGTTTTGGACTGGGGGGCCGGGTGGGGCTCTGCAACTTACCTGGCTGCTTCTTGCTCTGACTGAGGGCTGCTGGGGGCAGGGGGCGGGGCTTGTTGCATGTGCCCGCCCCCTGGGCTCTTTACTGCCGGAGCTCCGCTCCTGTGCGCTCCTGCAGGAAATGACCCCTGGCCTAAACACAAGGGCCGATACACATGACCTGATGCATTTTAACTAGGTTTGTGGATCTGCACCTGGATTGTTCCAGCCCACCTGGATCGTTCCAGCACCCCCGAGGGGGTGGTATTGCCCACTTTGGGAAACAGTGCCATAGAGTTTTTAGCCAAATGCTAGAGCATCCCCCCATGCCACATGCCCAGTGTGATGATGTCACCTCTGGGTGATGTCATCGTGCCGGGCATGTCAGGTGTGGTGAGGCTCTTCAAGGATGGGGCTCCCCCACCGGCCAGTTGGCCGATGGTGGGTTGGGGCCCCTGAAATGGGGGGGGACCCGCCCCCATCGTGAGGGATGGGACCCCTAGAATTCTCCCAGAATGACAACGAAATCTCCAGATGACAGACATCAGTTCCCCTGGAGACAGTGGCTACTTTGGAGAGGTGACTCCTATGGCATTACACCCCACTGAAGTCCCTCTCTTCCCCAAATCCCACCCTCAGCAGGCTCCGCCCCCAAATCTCCAGGAATGTACCAAGCCAGAAGTGGCAACCATAACTGGAACAGGCACACTTCTACTGTTCCTCAGGGGCACCTTGCCCACCTTCTGAAACTTCCAGGATGGCCCCTCCCCAACCTGGAATTTTGTATCCTACCCCCCTCCACCCTGACATGGGCAGCATTATCCACGGGGAAGCTTAAAGGTAACAGCAGGAAATTAACCCTGCCGTTATGTGGAAATCAAGAAGGAGAAGGAGAAGGAGAAGGAGAAGGAGGAGGAGGAGGAGGAGGAGGA